GTGGTTGGGACACGTATTGCGCATGCCTGTCCAGCGTTACCCCCGTCGTGCGTTGTTTGCACTTGCTGGACAGGGCTGGAAGAGACGGTCTGGTGGACAGCCTACAACATGGAGAAGCCGCATGAAAAAGTTGACGAAACAATTGGCCTCGGCCGGTTGTTGTCGACTACCTGGTTGGGGTCCGAGAGACGAGGATACTTGCTGGTTGAAAGCCTTGGAAGTTATGGCTCAAGATCGATGTCAATGGCGGACGTGTGCATCAGTGTGTTGCGGTGTCCCTTCCTCCTCCCCCTAAAAACGAACAAACTGAAAAAAAAATTTCAAAAACTGTGAGTGGTAAACTTGACAAAAAAAAGCATTTCTTGTTGCTCTTTTCTTATTATTCATATTGTTTTCCTATTCAGCCATGATTCCGATGGCACAATATCTGTACCACAGATTGTGTATAATATATATATATATATATATATATATATATATATATATATATATATCGACATTGACCCCGTGTACCATCAACTCCGAAAGAAAGATCTCCGGCGAATCGCAAGACCTGGTTCAGCCGTGGAAGCAGATGGGCAGAGATCACTTGGCACAAATCAAAATCGCCACCTTCAAATGTCACCTGCCCGTGGATGACGGACTGACAATTCACTAAGCAGCATTACACACTGCCTATTACTGCACTGAAGATGCCACCTCGCATGGTGGTGAAACGTATGCGATTTCTTAATCAAGCTGGGAAAAACGATCAGCGGGTGAGAAAGATTTCTGTACAACCGTATCGAATGATGAAAAATCAAAAACATTTAATTGCGAATCGTCATCGGTAGTATTTGGTCAGTTAATCGTTTATCCTTGTTCGGTTAAGAATTCGTATTTGTGTCATTATTCCCGGGTACAGGATGCGTATTTTTGCATTGTGTGAGCACCGTTGCACAAAAACACAGGTGTTGAAACACTTCACAGAATCGGCCTCTATTAGTCCTTCTGGTAGTGCATTTCATAAGTTTACTATTCTTTGTTCTATACAAAGTTGGTGTGATACCCCTGTATGGGACCCTGAGTTTGTATCCGTGTCCTCGACTGTTACATTTTTCCCGCATGCGAAATATTGGCCGTAGTATGGGGAAGTGATTCAGGTGTAGCATTCAATGGGTCATAATAAGCTCAATTTTTACTCGGCGGTAGGATAGTGTGTATAGTCCGAGCTTTTCACAACATTCTTCATACTTAAGCTATCGTAGGCTGGGACTCATTCTAGTTGCGATGTGCTGTATTTTCTTCAGCTTTTCCGTTTCCCGCTGGGTTATCGGATGGTAACCTGATGGGCTGTATTCAAGGATTGGTCTGTTGAGCGAGGCGAATAGGCGAGGGTCGGTTTCTTCGGATCATGTGAAGAAACTGCGCCGTATTACTCAGTGCATATGTAGTCCCGCACTGTTCAATTTCTCTGTATTTTCTAGTAATCTCATATCATGTCGTCAGAACACTCCTAAATCTGACAGATGTGTTGGGCGTGGAGCAATTGGACATCCGATGTTTGTGATCGAGTGGCTGCAAGTCTGGTGATACTGATGAACTCCGACTTGTTTGCATTAAGACGGAGTTGCCTTTCAGTGGACCACCTTGACAGTCGATCTGGAAGCGAGCGCAGTCGTTTTGGTTCTCAATGATCCTCCAGCTTTTCAATTCCTCCGCAAATAGGAGCTGCTGCGGGCGATCGTTGATATGAACAAGAGATGATACTGGCCCAAGTACAGTTCCTTGAGGCACGCCACTGCTCGATGGGAACAAGATAGTCACTGACCTGTACTCTTAACTTCCGTTCCACAATAAATTCGTTTAACTACTGAAGTAGAGTGTCACTGACTATGTTGGTCCTCAATTTACAAAGTAGTACCTCGTGATTCACTCTGTCAAACGCCTTACTAAAGTCGATGTACACTACGTCAACGTCCTTCCGTTCGTTGAGAGCTCGTACCCACTGGTGTTTTACCTACATCGAGCTGGTGATGCAGGACAGCCCTTTCGTGAAGCCGTGTTGCGCTGGTGTCAATACGTCCATCGACTCAAAGAACGACAGCAGGCACTTTTTCACAACTACCGAGCATTTCCAGTCGTTCGGGACGGATCCTTCAGAGAGCGATCTATTGAAAAGGTTTGTCACAACTGGTGAGATGATAATCGATAGGGACTTGAGTATTAGTGGGTGAAGTCCGTCTGGCCCGGGGGGTTTTGCACCATTGAGGTTGACGAGTAGCTGATGTACTTCGACTGCATCACATTGTAGGCTATCGATCAAGACTTGCGCAACCTGTGCCGGTACTGGAACAGCCGCCGGTTTACTGGAAAATACAGTGAGGAAGTGCGTAGCCAGGGCGTCCGCGCGCTCCGCGCTTGAAATGAGTGTCTTCCCGTCTAAGCTCTCTAAGACCGGTAGGTCGTCTCCAGGTTTCAGTTGACGTTTCAAGTAGGCAAATATTCGCTTGGGTGCAGTTGTGGCCGAGGATGCTAGCTCCTCTTCGAACTGCCGGCGTTTCTTGATCTTTGCGGCGTTACATAAGTTACGCTGTTTCCTGTACACCGCGTAATCTTCATCACAACCCGAGCTGATGTATCTATCCCAAAGTTTACGACGTCGTCGCGCTAACTGTCTGTATTCCCTATCAAACCAATGCGGTTTGACAGGTCCGATTTTTGGATACTTAAGGGGAACGAACCGAGTACAGAGCGAATTAAGCTTCCCCTTTATTAATGACCACCACGCCTCAAGTGACGCATCATGTGGTAGTGTCCAATCAGTCTGACTTGCGGCTTGGACGAGTCCGTTGAAGTCCGTCTTCCAATAGTTGAATGTCGGCTTCTGTTGATTGTAATATGGTAACGACAGTTCTAAGCTTGCTACAATAGAGCAGTGGTCACTGTTCGCCAGAGGTTCGATGACTCTGATTTCTTTTAGCTTTTGCTCGCAGCTCGTAAACATTAGGTCCAGACAAGATGCCGAGTACGGAGTTACGCGCGTCGGTTGGATGACATGTTGCGTTGCCCCAATTTCAATAGTCATTTTAGCGAATTGAGCCTCAACGTTGCCATGACCGGGAAGAAGTCGAACATCTGGCCAAATTATCTTAGGTAAATTTAGATCCCCCATCAGTAAGAACTGAGGGCGGCTCATGTGCTTCTGTACATGTGGTATCCAATCGCATCAACGGTTTAATGGGCTCCGGTAGATAACCCCCACAATTAGTTCTGCGCGCCTCAGGCGGATTGTGCACCACAATTGCTCGCATAAACTATCCTCGCTCCGATAGGTGCTGGTGAGTTTGCCAGATAGTGACGATTTTATGTACAACAGAACACCACCGTGAGCCTTTGATTTTCGGTCACATCGGAAACAAGAGTATCCTGACAACACGACTTCTTGGGGTATGATGTCGGAGTTCAGCTATGTCTTTGCAAGTCCTAAAATGTCCGGCCGCTCCGAAACAGCGAAGCGGCACAGTTCGTCACGTTTGTTCATTAGGCTGCACACGTTGGTGAATGCGACACGGAGGTCCTGGGAGGTACTGCGGGACGTGCCTGGAGGTTGAGCAATCGGTTGATACGCGTTCGTACACCCTTCTTGATCACCCGAAAATTTACAACTTGTAAGTCAGTCTCACCTTCCTCTGTACGGCGTTTGAGCTCAATGACCGCAATCTTCAAACGATCCCCGTCTTTGGGTTCCAAATCTCGGCGGATGTGAACTTTTATGCCTTTCAGCCTTGACAGGCGAGACAGTATGAGCTGCGGCATATTAGGATTTGCAAAGGTGATCCTCAGAGGTCGACATGACTGGTTAGTTTTCTGGCCAAGTCGGATTACTTGTTTAATCGTCACACTGTCCTCGCCCACATCCAAGAGTCTATCGATGAGCCCCTGGAGGAACTCAACATCGTGATCATAACGTATCTGAGGGTTTTCATCTTTTGACTCCGGTACGTGGAAGACCATGAGATTATGACGCCTCAGCGAAATCAGTGACGAACCTGTGGGAGCAGAACTAGAGGCGCTTAACTGATTGGGTAGTTGTTTATCAGCAGGTGACGTCTGAACTCGATTACGTGAGCCCTTGCGCTTTTGAGTGGTCCATGGATCCTCGGTGTTCAGAAGTTTACAGACAGGCTCTGAGAACTTCACGGACCGATCAGTGAAGCGGCATTTCGTAGCTTCTGAGTCTGAGTCTTCCATCGGTGAGAAACATTGAACCTGGGGTTCGGCCGGGGTCGAAGACGCTGGTGGTGGTGCAGATCGCGGAGAGACAGTAGAAGGCGAGGTGACAGAAGTACTTTCACGAGGACGTTTGATCCCACGTGGTGAACGGTTTGTTTCTATCTGAAAGCGAGATTTTTCCGTAGTTGTTTGCGGTCGCTGCGTATTCTGATGTCTTGTACCGCGACATTTATCACATATAACTTGAAAAAAAACGATGTCGGATGTCGAGCGATTTTCGAAACACGTCAACTGATAAGCCAATGCACGAAATATGGAACAAAACATCACAGCTGAAGCATCGAAGTGCATGAGCCTTATTTCCCACAACTTTCGAACACGAACCACAAGTAGCTTGAGACGGCATCACAAGCTAGAGCAAATCCAAGATGGCGGACAGAGATGGCAGTATGGCAAATCAGTGAGATCTCCGGAATTAGCCAAAAAATAGCTCCCAAATTTGCACCACTTGGAAAATACGCCAAAAGAAGAATAATGGTGCACAATTCACACAGATAAAACGCTGCTAACACCGTAAATCTCAAACTGCCTCTTGCCCAATTCGGAGATGTTTTGCCCGTTTCCGAGATTTCCACTTTTTTCTGGTATTTTTGGTTCTCGTCACGAATTTTTTACCTAAATTTGCTGAGGGCATTCATACAGCGACCAAATTATTCGCTTATTCCGTGCTGCTGACTTTGAGCCAACCTATCTTCTTTCTCGCACCTTGCGTTCCTCCATCCAAGGCTCATCAGCTACCTCCGGAACAGTTGGCCTCCCGGGAGGTTGTCCTGATAGACATCGGGGATATCGACCGGACAGACGCGGACTATAGTGCGGATGAGGATCCCTCGATATTTCGCTCGAAAAAAACTGGCCGTGGACCTCTGAAACCTCGATGGTGGCTTGTAAGATTCTCCTATCCACGATTGAATCTTTTCTTTTGTTTTTGCTTATGTTGAGTCAGCATGAATCAATTTTTAGTATTGATACAGATACAGATTCGCACATGCAGCATGCCGCAACTCACGCGCCACATGGTAAAATGAGCCTTAGCTAGTTAACCCCCATTCTGTACATACGTTTGGTGTTAAAATCGTTGTTATCGCGTGCACTGTACTTCATCAACTACTCCCCTGATGTGATTCAGATCATAGATTCCTTATGTTTGCCGTCGTTGGATAAATTCTACTCCTTTCTCACCATCAAAAGGATTGTGTTAATTTGTGGACAAGAGCACCCTCTCGAATCGTAACAACTTCTTTCCGAAAAGCTCAACGTTACTCTGCCTTCAGATATGGTGATGTTGATGCGAAAGTATTGATTCACTGTCGTAATCCACCTCTTCATGTTTTCCATCATTTCGTGCTCGACTTCTACTTTCCGAGATTTGTGACCTGAGTAACGACTCGGTTCACCTCCACAAATTCTCTTCCTTCACATTACTAATCTACTTCACAGCAAACCTTTTTTCACTCATGGAATCACTCACGCTCATCATTCGATGAGCTGAATGATGTGCTTTGCGAGGTCACCTGCTCCTTAGCACATGTTCTACCTACCGTTTGTCGTTTTCTGTTCACTATCGTGCATTCGAATGCACTGAATCTTAAGCGGCAGCTCTTGCGCGCATGGTTCGATCTACTTCCATGTTACCTGTACATCGTCAGCCTTGTCATAGTGACGACTGCAGTTTTTTTTCCTTACCCACTTGTAGGCGCATTCTGCCTTTCGACTAGCAGTCATTGTCCACTGCATATCACTCAATTATCCACGAATTACCCTATATCCATTTTCTCTTCCGTCGCTTAGAATCACTCATTTTGACCTTTTCCCTTCACGTATAGGACAATTACAATGGACCAATCATGTGTGCCTACAAGTTGGTACACTGCGAGTGCAGCATTCGCTTACTTCAATCGCGACTAGAGTCACTCATACTACGGGTAAGCCGATGCAACAGCGTTTCTTTTCCCACTCCGCTATTGCATGCCTAGCCTGCACTGTTTTATTTCGAGTCTGCATTGAACACATCTTTAGTGGACATGGATATTTTTTACTCTTGATCCTAATCCGCATTCGCCGCCTTTTTATTAAGCAATTATTTTATGTGATCTAAGACCAGCGACAGCTCTGAGTTGAATCACTGACCTGTTCGGCATGTGCTTCCATTTGCAGCAAAACCCTTGTGTTTATCCTACCTGATTCATGTCTACCTGCCTCCCAATCATTTTCCAATTCCTTTCGCAACATCACTTTTCTTGCGCTTCCTCGCAGGTATCTCCTTTGCCGTTTTTCGACCCATCACACGATTGTACATAGTGTCCATTCTACGGTCTTCCACTTGAATATTTCTGTGTATCGTTCAGATAGTTTGACGATAACTTTCCTTCACTTCAGTCTAGTAGCAAACATCTATTCTCGTACAGGAATGTGCCATTTTTATCCAAAGTTTATCGCTCTGTTTTGTAGATTTGTTATTCATGTTACTGTCTTCTTGGTCACTTTATGTTTGCACCCGCTTTTCAGTGACTACATCGAACATACCACCTGTTTTTTTTGCACCGATGCCACCCTCATACCTTCCTGATTTTCTCACAGTGCCTCTTGTATATGTGTAGGAATGCTGTCGGTTGAACGGTGACCTTTGAGATGCACAATCCTTATTCAATCACCACCAACGAAATAGCGGTGTTTTTCTAGTTGTGATCGCATTAGTTACCGTCAATCAATTTTTCTGACTTACATCTCTGCTCAGCTGACTCACTGACCAACGAATTCTCACAGTTTTGTTTTACCGTTTTCTGTTCTTCGCTCCCGACTTCACTGACTCCAACCTTTTGATCGATATTCTGTTTTCCCGATTACGTGTCACCCTGCTAACATTGGGTTTTTTTTAATCCCATTTGTTACCAGCGTTGTTGACTGCTCTTTTGTTCTAACGTTTCTAAGTGGGCCGGTGGAACTCCACGCCTCGCTTACCGTTTCTTGTGAATAGCGCTGGTTGATCTAACCTTCTTGCCTTGTATGGTCCGGATCTGCTCCTCACCTGATCACAGTTTAGCTTATTTTTCCCGCATCCACAACTGCTTCGTCACATTCATTTCTGTTCACATCTACATGGTTGAATGTGAGTAAATGGAGCTTCAACGGACTACACATGCTACTGTGCGTAGCACTGGAGCTATCGTAGCCTTTTTACTGCAACTATCATTCGTTCCACTTAAAGGTACTTCTTTGACCACATGTCTATCCTTCAACAATCGATTGGCTTGTGACCTTTTGTAGGAAAAGCGGCTACCTAAGGTAACTACGTTTCATCCCACTTCTGCTGTTAACATCCCTTCTTTGTTACCGTCTGGTCTTAGTTGCTTTAGCTCCGCCCACGATCAATAATTATTGGGTTATCCGGAAATCACTTGGAAATTTTGGCACATATTTGTAGTTATTATTTGTTTTAAATAAGCGGCAATATTTTATCAGTATGACACCCAATGTTAACGACGACCTACTGCCAACGCTCAGATAAGCTGTCGATGCCTCTGTCACAGAAAGAACTGGCTTGGCTGTCAAATTATTGGACAAGGTACGTTTCAATGGGTCTCGGTCATTGCATTTATTGTTCTTGATGTGATTGTAAAACGGGCGGAAATAGTAATAGCCAGGGGGATCAAGGTCCGTGCTATGTATGCTGGCTACATACGATCTTCGATACCGAATTGCTGAGATGCATCGCTTTTGTCACACGAGGATGTGCGTTGTCATGTAAGAAAAAGATTCAGTCTGCTCTTGGACGCTTTTTTGGTGTTCATCGATAAAATTTTGCATTTGTTCGCATTAGGCATTGACAGTCACCATGGAATTGTCAGGTAGCATTTTCCAGTAGATAACGGACTCCACGGCTATCTCACCAGACCAACATTGCCTTTTTGCAATACAGTTCGCCTTTCCGGACTTGTACTGGCGTTTAATCTGCTGCGATCCATTGGTGTTACCTGCTATGGCTGACATGGGGAACCAACTTCTTGTCTCTAGTAACGAGATCGTTCAGCCATTTATGATTGCGTTTGAGCAATGAAAGTGCGATGGCACAAGTTTAGAATCTTCTCATCAATCAGCTCATGTGGTACAAGTTGTCCGAGCTCTGGAACCATTCCGAATTGGCACGGATGGCGATAAACGGTGGTTTTTGGAAGGTTAAGGTGTGACGAAACTTCACGCGCACTTTGTTTCGGATCCTGCTTTGGAGCGTTCTGGGCGTTGCTGACAGTGTCCGCCATTTTGCGTCTTTGACCTGCGGTGTTTGGCAATTCGCAGTTCCCTACTTTGAATCGTCGGTATCAAAATACCATCATACCTTAACTTGAAGCATCCGTACCTAGTACGTCACGTCGGTTTCAACAAGCATCCGCGAACAGTACGTTAATCATTAGTCAATACTGCAGCCATTTAGAAGAACCGAACAATGTAAGATTATTGTTGCATGATGTCCCCTTACATATCCATACTAATAAATTTGAACATCTTTTCAGAAAATTATGGGATGATCTCAAAAATATTCTTTTGATTTCGGGGACAACGCAGTATTATTATCTATTTCTCGAATTCTCGTGAGGCTGTGTTCACCTGTTACAGATTATGTTTTAACGAACTTTTTCACTGTGATCTCTGAAAGAATACTTTTCAGGCAACCAACAAGTACCATGGGTGATGAAAGTAGGGTGTTTGGATCAGTTAAGGTGAGCACAGCATTTCTCCAACATATTCGAAACTTGAAGCAAGGGTCCTTGGTCCACGATGTTCGGACGACACTCGGAAACAGCGGGGGAAGCTGAGGGCGAAAATGAGTTATGTGCGGTGAAATCACACCAATATACGCGAATGTATCACGAGGTGAACCCGGACTTCCACACTTTGCATGTAGCGTAAAAACAATTGACTGATAGTTGCGCTACGGTAGCAATTAATCTAAATTCATGAGTGGGAAAAGAAGTCAAAGAGAATAAGTTACCGACGAAAGTAGAAACACGGCTTGCTAAGGGTGTAGTGCGGCATATAATGCTCGAATATGATAGGAATGGCATCAACTATTGGGAAGTAGTGTAGCTTCAGTGACAACTTGAAGTGCGATACCGATTAGAGGCAATTGGAACCCAACGACAATAGCAATTATATCATGTTGCTCATCATTGCTGAGGCGCGTACGCCTCAACTCTACATCTTCAGTCATTGGGTTCAGTAAGAATTCAGGTTAGAGAAAGCCTCAGTAGAGAACGAAAAATTTAACGGCAACACTGATCTGCCCAACATGTTTGCTCTTTTCTTGTACACACGGTGGGCTGTATCCGAGTAATAGTAAAGGATCACAGCTTTTCACGACGCTTGATACCTAGATCTCACCACTCACACATCAGTCATAGAGTTGGACTGGAATTCTGTGTCGCTGCCTGCGAGCCTTCAAAATTCAACCACTCAGTAAATGACTGGTTCATGCGAAATTTTTGTCAAATACACTCTTCAAATGTTTTTCTCCAAACCGCTTCTGCATCGTCTACCACTTTTAATCCTCTTAGCTGACAGTTTACCCAACTTTTCATTTGCATGTGACCCGCCACTGTAAATGCTCAATGTCTCCTTTCTTGTTGTGGTTGATTTCCGACATTGCTTCTTCCTGTGCAAACTCCGATGGGATATTTTGGTTTATACTTGTCTACTTGGGTTATTTCGGTCATGACTGCGCCACCGTCTTTGATTCCTGTAGGACTGCAAATGAAGTTAACCTGACACATCAACATCTCATTGTCGAATGAAAATCGGGATTACGGAGGACACTAAGCCGTACCAAGATTTTCTCGTTTCCACCTTTTGCTGTTATTTACTTAAGCGACTTCTCGGAATGTTGGTTCTTGTGCGGTAATAATCGGTTGCGTCCGCTCCCGAATTTCGTTGCTTCCTTGGCTGTCAGCAGTCACTAGAAGCCTGTTTATACACAGTGGCCTTGAGTCGATTATGTTCGCATCACATATTTTCTTTTATATAAAGGGCTATATACAGACGGCTAGGAGCACTTCGAAGTGCACAAGCGCCCTATAAGTGTGTAAAAATTGGCCCCAGTTTCGTAGGCACACTCGTAGTCATTGCTTTCGACTTACACTATGAGGAACTAGGCAACGTGTTTGGCCATCTGAGTCGTGCGCGATCGACTCTTGCTAGTTCCTGACTAAGTGCAAATCGAGTGCAGCATCTAGTGGATGCTGCTGACCAATTTTAGGACACGCTACGTAATTAAGCCATCTTTAAATGTAACACTGCCGCAATGGCAGTACACTTCGTCTCTCGCAGTAAAGTTTATCAGCCTCCTGCTATCAGTTATCTAGCTGCGGCATCACACGAGTGGTACGCACCTGTCGTGCGCATGCAAACGGACATGTCATCATCACGTACATCGTCTAACTTCATCATTACTATTACCAACACTTTAGCCAAAGATGAGAAACGCCTCAACTATCGTTCCGTAACTCAACTGCATTATACGATAGTAATAAAAGAAGCCCAAAACATAAACCAGAATATTATGCTCATTGGTGGGCTGAAAGACAGTCAGTTGGTATTGTTGGATCTAGAAGTTCCCGCGGTGTTTGGATTTTGACACAATCCCAATCGACACCATAGTCCACTTTAAAGTGGACGTGGGACATTGCGATCACTGGGGCCTCATTTGAAGTAGAAAGTTTCGCTTTTTCTCGTTTCCCCTAAATCCAGCGCTTATCTTCGGTAATTTTGTTGCGTTTGTAGCATTTTTGAGTAACTTGTGGACATTATTTCCTTATCGCGGACTCATTGCTAACCAGCTTACTTCATATGCTAATTTAGCGAAGAGTTATGCCACTGTATCGGTATACATTATTGGATTTATTTCATTTCATTTTGTCGTTTCAAGTGATTGGCTGTTGCGTGATATCCCCGGTGTGGTTGCGCTTGATATGCATGTTGACAAGGTGCCTACCTGTCTATTACCCACTACCTCGTCCATACTGGCTCCAGGAGACAGTTGGTCGGTGCTGGAGGGGACGGGGTGCACGGTCCTTGTGACCGTGCTAGGCTCGAAGAGTGGTTCCATGCACTCAATGTGGAGCGGACTACGGTCCAGCCACTGCCTTGTGTGCGCTTGATTCCCCCAATTCAGTGTGCTTGTGTTTGCCTGTGAAGGAGTGTGGGCCGGCTCCATTGATGAAACGTGGCTCCATTCCACATGCCTCCCGGTCTTATTCCTTCGGGTTTCCACTGGATGTGGGGTGTATGGTTGGAGCCGTGGGTGGTGCAGCGCAAGCCACCCATGGTCCCTGTGAAGGCGCAGGCGTCCTATGGCTGTCCACAGTGACAGGCAAATCCGAAACCGGATGCCACCAACCTATATATATATATATATATATATATATATATATATATATATATATATATATATATATATATATATAACAGGAACATCCTTTGAGAAGGCTAGGTTGAAATGGGCTGAGAATGTCAAACGCACTGCGGTGGTTTTCGTGGACATCTCTCACCAGCTTTTGTAGCAATTTTTCAGCACCCTGGTTATCCTAATTGGCCTGTTATTTACAGAAAGGCGCCTACCGCTCTAAAGATGGGGCAGATAACAGCCTCCATCCAGTCAGTAGGTAACGCGCAGCTGGCAAGGGACTTTTCGAACAAACGCGTTATCAGCTCACAAGCTTCATTTGCCCGTTCATATAGCAACTTCGGATGAATGACATCGATACCAGCGGCTTTGGTAGGCTTTAGCTCTGGCAGCAGTGAAAGCACTTTTGCCTCTGATACGGAGATCACGGCCAGTGAAGAGTTACCCGGAAGTTTCTCCTCTAAATCGATAGTTGGTAAAGGTGATTCCAGCACAAATGTCCTCGCATACTCTTCCCCGAGGAGACAAACCTTGTCGTAATCAGTATTCGCGCCAATCCCACTGAGTCAGAACAATACCGGAATTGATGAATTACCACGCCCTTGTCTCCTGACATAGGCGCAAAACCGCTTTGGATTGGTTGAAGCCGTGTCTACTAGTTCCATTTCATAACGAAGTCGAGAGTCCCTTAGATGTTGCTTACATTCGTTCCGTGCTGTTCGTTAACACCATCGGAGTCGAAATACAACTCCGCTAACAGTTGGACCGTCTGTTCAGCGGTTGACGCGCAGTTAAATCGAAGCAGGGTGGTCTGGCGTTTTCTTTCTTCCCTACTGAAAGCGCAATGTGGAAGACACTTCAGGAAAGCATGTTTTGAATTTATTCCAAGCCGTCTTGATATCGTCTGTTGCCAAAATGGGGCCGGGTGACAGGGTAGCACTGGATCTCATTGTAGGAAAAACATTACGCCAGATGTTCGGACGCCTTACCGCGCGTGTCTCTTGGGCTCTACTTAGAGCACAGTCGAATGAGACGCTCCAAGTGGTTGACCGTAAACGATGTTACTTACGAAGTCGCTTGACTTGATAAAAATAAAATCAGGAATGGACGGAGATTGTCCCTCCATGAAGTGCGTGATCTGATTTACAAACTAATGCAGGGGAGGCTTGTAACGTCACCTCCACTACTTCTAAGGTTAAATCAACGGTCACAGTCTCGCAAGCGAGGTTGCGCCAGTCTATCTCCGGAGGTTTATAGTCACCCATAACCAAGCACCGGTTGGTCGAGTGATAGCGCAGGAAATCAATACAACTTTTTGAACCGCGCCAGGGCTCCTACATACTAACATTTCTAAATTGCGAAGACAAGGTGCACAGTTCAGCCGAAACAGCTTTAACAGTTCTATCAGTGCCGTGGGACCTATATGTTTTGGAAACAGTTAAACAGGAATTTAGCTAGAGTGCAACTCTACTTCCGCGACGATCGCAGGGACGATCTGATCTTAGTATTGTGTAGCCAGGTAAGAATATTTCACTGTGCATGACCTTTCAGTAAGCGCGATGACATCTTGACGAGGTGCGTCCACAAGGGCGCCAACTGCGCACATCTTGTTGTGCAGACTACACACGTTACTAAATATTATGTGAAGGGTATTGATATGGTGCGTCCAGGGTCGTGTACCACCAGGATATGCTCTGGCATGACGGAAATGAACCGCCGGCGCACCACCCGAAGGCCCGCTAATCGCAGACCACTTTCACTGGCAGCGCGATGTGATTTCATGTCTTGGATAGCTGCCTTCAATTTCACCCTGTACGCTAAAGTCCGGCTGTATGCCGACTCCAAACTTTATAATTCAAACAAATCGTATAAGCGCTTGGTGCTCCTAGGTTGTGGAAAGTCGCTCATAGAACGCGATGCCTAGGGTCAAGGCTAATTATTAGCAGGCCTCCAAGTCTGGTTAGTTTACGCACGTTCACTCCAGGGAATCCAAGAGGGAAATTCTAGTAAGGCAAATATTAAACCATTCGAGATCATGTAACATTCTTTC